GTATAAAAGCTGAGCAGAACGTTCAGAGAATGAGAACTGCTTTCCAAAGCATGTCCCTTGGCTAACCTTACCCAGCTCAGCTGGTTGAAGCCTTTTGGCGTTCTGTATGGTTATCTTCATTAATCTGAAGAACTGTCTAGGTACAGTGAACCTTTCTTGCTCTGAGTTGAGCAAGATACTCAGCCTACAGCTTTGCTGTTTAACACTTATTTTGTATTTCCCTGTTACCAATTGTTTAAGCCATTACTCTGTTGATTGATTGTTACCCTTTTGGAAGCTGTAAGGAGGTGGGTGTCTTCTGTTTTGTACTGTATATGTTTTCTCCTGGTTTGATAGGGAGTGAGCGTATCATTTTGTTGTTGATTTTCTTTTATTTGACAGGTTTAGAAAGAATCTAACCCCCAGAGTAGAAATACTTTTGTTTATTTTGGCATTGTTCCCTCTCCTAAAGTTTTTTTTTTGCTTCCCTCTTAATTTTACAATCTTTTGTTTGAGAATCATGTATACTCTCAGAGCTGTTAATAAAACCTGATAAAGGGATCTCGTTGTAGTTGTTGTTGTTGTTATGCTGTGGCAGGGGCTCGGGCAAATGCTCTTCTTAAACCCTTAATATTGTTATGTTACCTTAAAACCCCGAGACACTTAAGACGTAACAAAGACAAGAAACCACAGCTAATGAGAACATACATGAGCCGTGTGTTCACACAAAACATGACAAAATGAAAGCATGCAGTCTGTGAAAAACACTCAAAGCTGTGCGCCTTACATGAACCTAGACATTATAGGAGTGTCAGGGCTGTCACAAAACCATGGAAAACTAGACTGACGTGACAGAAGCCTGACATTATCAGTTAAAATGCACTATTTCAACATTTAAAAAGCTTTCTGTAAAAAGATTCATGTAACGATTCAGGCACCTGTCTTGCTCTGATGGTAATGGCAATTAATATTATATCTACAACATTCAGTACACAGGGTTTCTGCAGACTTGAACAAGTTAAATTTAAGACTTTTAAAGACCTTTTTAATACCACCTTATATGAAATTTAAGACCTAAACCTGTAATGGAAATACACATTTTATTACATACATATATGTAATATTTAATCTATAAATTAAAAAGAAAACAAAATATCAATGCTGTAATAAATGGTATTTATTACTACGATATACAGTGAACTTTTCATGTCAGCAGACAATATTCCATACAAAATATCCCTGCAAAATAACTGCATCACTGAGATTTTTGGTGGAGTAAACAATTTATTCTGAAGCAATATTTTCATCAGTGTTTTATCAGCTTTTACACACTTAAATCTGCATATTTACCTTTACAAAGGCCTATTTTTTAACCTTTTTAGATTGTATGCATCATCTCACATGTCAAATTATTACAATGTATCAATAAATTCAATATACACTATAGGGCTGCTACCAGTCAGATTAAATAATTTACACTGCAAATAACAATTACAACTGCAATAAATAATGTTATGAGATTAATGTTTTAAATGCATTTATGAATATACAAATAAGAAATGTTGATGGGGAAAATGCATACTTTTCAACATGAGTAACTTAACGAGTGAGTATTGAGTCATTCATTCAACTGATTGTGCTATCATGCATATCTTAAGGACTTTCGTGGACAGCTGACTCCTAAAGTTTTTGATATTCTTCATATTCTGTGTGGTGGTCAGATAAGTTAAAATAGTTTTTTACCTTTTATGGGCATTTTACCTTTATAAAGCCATTTTTCTATAAGTGTGCATTATCTTTTGAGTCAAATTCTTACATTTAATCAGTGAATAAGAATAAGACATTTGGGCTGTTGCCAAGCAAATGAAATCCGTATCAACAAAATTCATCTTTGCAATCCAGACATAAGCAGCATCTGAAGTGGCATTTAGATGTGTTTACACGCGGTTTAATGCAGAACATGAATGTATTTAACCTGCAGTTTCAAATGCATAAATAATGTTTTGATATATTAAACATAAAACATTGAATACTGATATTTGAAATAATTTTAAAAATGAAACGATACTTTGAACGTGAAATTAAAACCGCCACTAGGTGGCAGCAAGTCACTGTTAATAAGTGAGTCATTGCGACTGAACCGGACTGAACCGAATCATTTAAACACTTGATTCATTCAGGAACGAAACACCGTCATGTTGCTCAGAGACGCAAAA